TCATGAGAAATAAGAAAAAAAAAACCAACTATGGGAATTCCCATGGTGAAAGTGGAAGTGATGATGCTCCCCATGGTGGTTGGAGATGGTGTGTATATATATATTATAGATTTGGCCAACCACCGGTCAAAGAATATCAACAACATGTTCCTTATTGCCGATGTTTGATTAGTAAAAAGATAAGAATAACAGCAACAAGATATATGTTGCTAATACTTAAGGTTTTTAGCAACATAATCAGCAACAAGGAACATGCTGCTGAAAAGTAGAGCTCAATTAAATCACCAAAGATTCACTGAAAAATATCAACAAGATGAAGTATGTTGCTTCAACAAGATGAAGTATGTTGCTTCAACAACAAGAAGTATATTGCTGAAAGTGAAGTAGCTTTTTTAGGGTGAAGTGTATTAGAGAACTTTCAGCAACATAGGACTTGTTGCTGATACATATTTTCAGCAACAAACAATCTCATGTTGTTGATATATTGTTGCTAAAAGTCAAAATTTTAGTAGTGAAAAAATGTGAAACGACAAGGCTGCTAAAATAATTTGATGGTAAAACTTGGCACTCTAAGTTACAAGTTTATAGTTATTATATTGAATATTCAGATAAAAGTAAAAATAAAAATGTTCTAATATTTTAAATATTAGAATTTTTTTATAAATTTATTTAAATTTATTTAATAATATTTTATATGATAATTTATTAAAGGTATTTTAATTTTTTATTATCAATTTTAATATTTTAATTGTTAAAATGTTGATCTTAATTTTCCTCAATCCCTTATATTTAAATCTCTAAATAAGGGAGAAAAAAAATTTAAGAAGTGAAAGGAGACAATTATCAACTAAAGACCAGTTAATTCAATAACGTTGTTAATTTGATTTTTAGCAACTGATACCTCTTAGCTAATAGAACATGACTAAACGGATCTCAAATGTACAAAAAAAAAAAAAAGAAAAGAAAAAGAAGCTAAATATGCGTTTTTATCTATCCCAAAGACTCTTTCTTTTGGCAAAGTCAAAACAATCCAGCCATCCCATTTCCTGGTCTTGACCCTTTCACATGGCCTTTTTTTTTTGGAGGGGGAGGAGGAGGGGGTGTGGGGGGGAGTAACCCTTTCATATAATTCATATAGCTGACATAGGGACTGCAAAGGGCGTTGGTCAAATTATTGAATTGTCAATGGTGATCAATTCCTCATCTGCATAAGCAGGTTGCCATTTTAATTGTTCAAAATTGTACCAAAATAAAAGTCTAACACCACAAGTTTGTAATCAATTATTCTCTCTCTCTCTCTCTCTCTCTCATTTCCGTTTGCCCAATACATATGGACTATCATTCCTTGTGGTTACCATTTGGACTTTGGAGAAGTTCGAAAGAAGGCCTTTATTTTAACTTATAAAGGTGGGCCGCTCTTGATAGCGTTGATTTTGGCCCATCTCCACCCAGAAGTACTTGCCTATTCGGTGACTGAGGTTATAACCAATGAACCACCAATAATTTTGTTAAAGTTATAAATTTTTATTATAATTTTTTCGGTTTATAATTTTTTAAAATAATTTGATTATGATATTTATAAAGTTTATTTATAAATTGATTTCAATATGTTAAATCATAAATATTAATTATTTTATTAATTATCAGATATTTTTAAGATTAAGGGGACAATGGACCGTAATTTCGTTAAAATTACCAATCAGCACCAACTCATCACATCTTAACGGACAATGGACGGTTTAACGATTAGATAACATTATTTTTACTAAAAGGGCTGTTTTGAGGATTTCATGAAATTCAGGGTTTGATTTATTACAACATTGTAAGTATAAGGGCTGAATTGGACCCTCTGCCATAAAAATATATTGGCTTTTTTTTTGGGTATATCTAATCATACTTATAATATTATAACTATAGTTAAGGATGAACATTCGGTATTGGTATATTCTATGCCACTAAGTTGGATGAGAGGACATGATAATTATTGGATGTGGAGTCATACGAGGAATGCCTATTATTCTGTCTGTTCAAGTTATCATTAATTGTGCCATTGATATGCAGAGAAGGAACAGGGAACCCTCTAACCTTTGGGGGTAGTCATTTATGGGACCTTGATCTCCCAAAAAAGGTTCGTTTGATGATTTGGAGCGCTTACCAGAATATACTCCCCACAAAAGACAATCTATGCAAAAGGCGTGTGATGGTGGACTTGAAGTGTCCTATATGTGGTTTAGACAGTGAGTCCGTCCGGCACTGTCTAGTGCTATGTCCGGTAGGATGAGCAGTATGGCTAGGCAGTCCCTTAACCCTTTATTCTGCAACTAACTTGTGGGGGTGTTTTGTTGAGTTTTTTTGATAATATGATGTGGATATTGGAGAATGATCAGTTGGAGCTACTTTATATCCTTTGCTGGAAATTATGGAATAGTAGACATGATGCCCTATAGAATGAGAGGAAGTCAACATACCCCAGTCAGTGATCAAGCGAAGTTTAAATTTAGGAGTTAGTATCGACAAGTTAGCGAATCAATGGGTAAAGGAGCAAGCTCTATCCAGTCACATTCAGAAACTTATAAATGGAGGACTCCAGATGAACATACTGTGAAGATCAATGTTGATGGGGCTGTCTTGGAGCAACGCTAAGTCTATGGCATGGAGCAATCGCACGAGATCATACGAATGAATTACTCCTGGCAGCTATGGTTTGTAATGGGCAGGGATTGGTATCTGGTGAAGTAGCCGAAGCCTTTAGTCTAAGAAGAGCATTATGATGGGCCCGCGACCTTGGGTTGATTCATGTTGTTATGGAAAGCGATTGTGCTAGCATTGTCACAGCATGCAATTCACTACGGGTTGCAATTCCAATCAGGCCTGGGCTCCATCATTCAGGATTGTATAACCTTAATGTCTTCCTTTGTCCATTGTAAGACACAGCATATTCGTCGCATCGGCAACGCTGCTGCTCAAGAACTAGCCAAACGTGCCTTACATGCTGAGGATGATGAGTTTGGTTAGAAGAGGTCCCAGATCATAAAGTGCCTATTGTAACAGGAGAGAAGCTATTGGAGTAATATTGTACCCATCCTGTTTTATAATAATAAATAAAACTGCACATTTAGCCAAAGCCTTGCCCATTAGAACTAGCCCAATGGGTCTGATGGTCACCGCCGAGCTTAGAGGGTTAGGTCCACTTATTTGAAAAAATTCCCCCTTCCTCCATTTCCCTATGTCCAAAGAAAAAGAAAAAGGCCTAGCCCGTTAGGACTAATGTCACTGCTTATTTACAATCCCTATGATGCAAAATAATTTTTCGCTTCTTGACTTTTTTTTTTTTTTTTTTAATTTAAAGATTTGTGGGTAATTTATATATTTATTTTTATTTTTATTTTTAAAAAAAGATAAAAAACTTTTTATGATAAAATTATTAATTAAAATAAA